AATTTGAATGACCACAGGTTACGAGAAAAGACGCTGAAATTTCTGTATTTCCAATGTTAAAATCTTTGTTTTCTGAGTCGCTTTGGGACAAATTAAGGTTTCAGGCATGTGGTAGGGCACCTAAGGGGACTTTTAAAAATGCTAGTTTGAAGAAAAGGAGCAACAAAGCAGAAAAGGAGGAAGCTCCGTTTCTAAACTGCCCTTCAGTCTAACCGCGCTTCTACCCAGAGATTACATCTAAACCAGGCTGGGTTTCACACAATCAAGAGAACTTATAAGGTCATGGGAAAAAGAGTCTCTTCCTAATTGCTTTTTTTCCTCTTCATTTAGCATTTTTTGTCACGACCACCTTTAAAAATCTCAACAAATGTATATATTAACTAAAGAAAACACAAGTAAAGACAAAGCGCTGTTTTTAAATAAAGTATTTTTACATTAAGGATCACTGCCACACCTGTCCTTAATCAATAAATCACTAAAATAGAACCTGTCGACATCCAAAGAAAATGAGGAATCAGAGAGTAAGTATTGAGATTCCTTATGCACCGATTGTAGATTCCTATTTTGACCGATGCCAACTTTCATATTCAATATTTACTTCAATATTACCTTCAATAGAGCATTGACGGTTGGTGATTTTCAAACTTGAACAGAGGTGGTGAAGATGTTTTTTTTTTTTTTTTATGTTCAATTATTGGCCAATTAAAGATTTCCGAAAATTAAAGGGACAGTGTGTTAGAAATTTAGCTTTTTGCTATGAAAAAAAAAGCAAACTTGAGGAGTATTAACAGAAAAGTAACTCCACATAAACTATGGTGGCAGTAGTATGATGGTCTGCGGCTGTTTTGATGCTTCAGGACCTGGAAGCCTTGCTGTGATAAATGGAACCATACATTTTGCAGCGTTTCTAAAATATCATCTGTTAGTGACTTCTAGCCGAAAATCTGATTCTGCAGCAAGAGGAAGTGGATAAAGAAATAAAAAATAAAAAAAACAAGAAAGGATTTTGAGTGGCCAAGTCCAAGTCCTGTTCTGAATCTCACTGAGATAAAGTGGCATGATCCTGAAAAGACCGTTCATCCTAAAATAAAAATAAAAATGAGGCTAAAATAACATAACTCTTTTCCTTCATTTTCAAACTGCTAATTTATTTCATATTTGAATAGCATTTAAAACATAAAAAAATAAAATAAACTAAAAAATCAAGAAGAGGGCAGATGCTTTTTTTATACTATTATATGAACAGAACAACCACAGGAGAAACTAAACGACTGAACCCAGGGTGGAAATAATGACAAACAGGATGCTGCTTTAGAGAAGGTAACAATATAAACAGTTGGAATCAAGGCTTTTGCTGGAAATAATTGAATTGATCTTTTCTTTTACTTTGGTCGATCATCATTGATAATGTAATGGATAAACAAAGAGAGGATTAGAGCGCTGGAGCCTTGGCTGTAGAGAGTTTATCTTCCCATGCAGCTTCCTGAATGTAGGGGTCAGGCAGAGGGTGGAGGTCAAGATAAAGAAAACCTTCATGCAACAACGAACACAGATATGATTTGTCTATTGGCTGAGTTAGGAAATACATTTAGAAGTACAGAAAAAAATAGTAACCAAAAGTAAAACTGCTACAACTAATACTTATTTTACAGAAATTAATTACTATATGTCTGAAAATACATTTAGATCAGCTTAGAATTATTTAAACATACACCTCTTTAATTTAAGTCATCATAGTTAATAATATAGCTTAGCATAAGCTAGTTAGCCTATCCTAAATAGCTAGTTAGGTCGTGCTAAATTTAGCTAACTTTACTGCCGTTATCTTAAGTTAGTTTACTCTGCATTAGCTTAGTAATTACATTAAATTCATTCTCAGTTAAAGGTACACTATGCAACCGGTGTTGATTTTCCAGCGAGGCTCCCCCCAGAGGGCGAAAGTAAAAGTGCACTGTCGTAAATATGCACAGCTGTTCTCCTGGTTTCTCCGTCAAGCCAGGCGCGGTTGTTTTGAGCTTAGCAGACAGGCGAACGCAACGAATGACTTATGCTACGTTCACACCGGACACAGCAGGCGCGACAGAAGCAGCGAGTTGACATGCAAAGTCAATGGTTGACGCGCGTCAA